CCCCCCCCCCCCCGCTTCCCCTGGAGTCTGCACCGCCAGCGGCAAGAGGAAGTGCTCTAAGGCCAGGTGACCGTTGGCCAGGCAGGCCCTCCTGGACCTGGAGAGAGCCCAGCGTCGGGGTCGGCGGGGAGAGCGCTGGCCGGGCTGGACCAGGAGGCTGGCTCACAACCTCCTCCAGCCGATAGCCTCACGCCAGAGCAAGCTGCCCTCGGGCGGGCGGGCACGCACACCTACCAGCTGCTGGATGCGCTCGTAGACCAAGAGCTGCGGGAAGGAAACGTCCACCGGCTCTACTGCGAAGCGCAGGCGCCCACCGGTCAGCCCCTCCAGTCGCCGCAGGCATGAGCGGAAGTGGTCGTAGGCCTCGCACGTGACCTCCAGGTGCCGCAGCGTGAAGTTCAGCCTGCGCACAAGCCGCAACACACACACTGCCTGTCACCACCAGAGGCTCTGCGGCTCCCTCCCGTCACGGCGCTGGATTTTAACTGAGCGCCTCCTGCGTGTTGGGCGCCAGTGCGCGGCCTTCCGGCATCTGCAGGAGAGCCTGGGAGGTGGGGCCGGCTACGGCCTCCGCTCAGGTGGGGACTGGGGCTCAGAGAGGGGAAGGCATGTGCCCAAGATTACACCCGAGTGATCGGGTCCACACGTTGCCACTGGTCACGTGGACCCTGAAGGGGGTCCTGGACGTCATCGGTGTAAACAACACTCAACCGATGTGTCCATCTGGACGGCTCTGTGCACGGCTGGGATCGCTTCCTCAGGGCCGGTTCCAGATGCTGAACTGCTGTGTCAATCAGTGTGTTCGCATGTGTAAAATAGCTAGCTAGTGGGAGCCTGCTGTATAGCACAGGGAGCTCAGCACAGTGCTCTATGATGACCTAGATGGTTGGGATGGGGGGGGTGGGAGGGAGGGGATATATATATACATATAGCTGATTCACTTTGCTGCACAGCAGAAACTAATGCAACGTTGTAAAGCAATTATACTCCAATAAAAAAAAAATCACTGTGTTTGGTTTTATGGCTTTTGTTATATACTCTAAATTTCCTTCAGCAAAGCTGTGGGTTATCACAAGAATTAGAGGAAAATGTGTGCACGGGGCCCAGCACCGAGTCTATCACAACACAGTCACTCCATCAACAAAAGCCCTAACGTTTCAGGACATCCGGGCAGAAACGCCCCGGAGGGGCTCTGTGTCAGGGCGAGGGCAGTGGCCCAGGGTGCAGAGTGGACATGTATCTGGGCTCTGACGCGTTCACTGCCCAGCCACAGCCTGGACGGGTCCCTGACGCCTCAGCCCTCCTCCCTTCGGCTGTGCGATGGGGATGGCAGTGCCTGCACACAGGGTTGGTGAGTGGATTAAACGAGGCCACGTGTGTAAAGGACCAGCAGGCCCAGCCACAGCAGGTGCTGGATAAGCAAGTGATGAGGACGACACCAATGAGTACGCATCTGGAAGGTGTGAGCCTGGCCCCGCGAGGGGCTCACCTCTTTTCCACAGAAAGGATGGCAGTGGAGGCATTCTTCAACCTGTGAGCCAGTCGGGACAGTGTTTTAAACAGAGCATCAGTTAGGTCATCGTCGTAAAACACTGTGGGGAAGAAAACAGGCAAATATCAGAGAACATGATTCCTCAGCGGGCCCCATGGACGGGATCTTCGATAAACATGAATAGCCACGGCGCTCAGAATGAAAGCGGCATGGAGCCACGGTGGGAGCTGGCCCGTGACGTGTGGTGACTCCGGCTGTGCCACGGAGGCGCCCTCACCTTCGGCCGCGAGCAGGATGGTGGTGTGGCCGTACAGGTCGGAGATGTCCTCCTCCGACCAGCTGAAGGGGACCTCGGGATCTGTGAAAGGGGAAGGACACCTTGGGCTCAGCCCTTTCTCTGCGGGCCACCAGCTCTCACCGAGACAGACTAAAAGAAGCTTCAGGAAAAGAAATGGGGTCGGGTAAGCTCGGTGCAGTGGGCGCCACCAGGCAGCCCCGAATCCCAGCGCCTCCACCACCCACGTGGAAAACTTCAGGGCAGGAGGTGCTCTTTCTGCCGGGGCGGCTACCTTATCCATGGGGGCCTGACCTGCTGACTCGGCCAGTAGCCTGTGCAGAAAATGATCTACACCTCCGTCCATGGCATTCCTGCCCCCGTGGACTTCCTGTGTGACCCCAAGAAAGGTGCTTCACCTCTCTGGGCTGCAGTGTTTGCACTAGAATGGGCATAACAATGCTTCCCTCACAGGACTGTCGGGGAGACCAAAGGACCTCAAGTGTGCTAGGTGCTTGCTAGGTGACCGGCACTCAACAAGCAATGATTTTCCTCACCTGACATCTGACAGGGAAAAGAAAAGTTCTTGTACAAAGAAAGAGCAAAGGTGCAGGTCTGAAACAGTCTGCTTAAGAAATTTAGAAATGTTCCCCACCCAGCAGCTCCTGAACCCCTGGGGCCGACTCCCTGCTGCAGGCAGAGGACGGGTGCTAAGCGGGAAGCTGCTTCCTGGCAGGCAAACGGTCTAGGCCCTGGAGTCCCAGACTTGGGTTCACACCCTGACCTGCCAGGTACCTGTGACCCTGGGCAGGCACTGAACCTCTCTGAGCATCAGTCTTCCCCGGAATTGGGGACTATAGGACCGACTGGACAGTGATACTGTGAGTCTGAATGACAGAATGAGTGTAGGGTGCCTGACATGCAGCACCAAGAATGGCAGCTGTCACTCTTCAGCCAACGGAGCTAGGACTCTGCTGGGTGGTCAAGGCCACAGGGCTGATGGCCTGGGGGCAGTACAAGGAACCAATGAATCAACTGGGACACAAGAGAGGAGGCCACGCACCTGTGCAGAGATCGTCTTTCAGCCAGTCCAGTTCCTTGACCTTAATCACACCGCCTGCAAAACAAACACAAGCGGAACTCCCCAAACTCTGAACACGGTTAGGAAAGAAGATAAAACTTCCCACTACACACCAAGATCCATCCATCCCACATTTTTTGAGTGCTAAGCATCAGGCCCGGTGTCGGCCCAGGGAGCAGAGATTCATGAGGTACGTCCCTGTCCTAGGAGACTGGCAGGGAGCAGACACTGATATGAAAAGGACGTGCCAGGTGCGCGGGAGGAGGGCTCTCGTGTCGATGGGTGTCAGGGAAGTCTTTGAGGAGAACGCATTTCACACCACTGCTTCCTTCCAGGCCTGCTGACAGCCTGCTGTGCCCTGGGCGTTCAACAAACATGACACAGGGGATCAGACAGGGCCCTGACCTCACGGAGCATGTGGTCTAGTGGGGCGGCAGATGCCAATCAACTAGTCCCACAAACAAATATCAAAATACCATGGTTCAAGGTGTAAGGAGAGCCTGTAAGGGGACTGTGATCTTGCCTGAACGTCTGAGCATGAATAGGAACAGGCAGGAGGAAGAGGGAGAGGAAACAGGCAGGAGGAGAGAGCAGAGCAAAGGCCCTCAGCGGATGGAACCTCCAGCAAGGCCAGGATGGCTAGAGCGGAGGGAGCCGCTGTGGGGAAGGGGCTGCCGACAGGCAAGGGCCAGGCCCCACAGGGTCCAGAGAAGCCAAGGAGTTGGGTCTGTACTCCGAGAGCAATGAGAAACCTCTGAAGGCTCTGAAACCTGTGGGGCCAGATGACCCGGTCGGAGCCCAGAAGAGCAAGCACCCCAGATCACGCTTGGAGCAGGAGGCCTGGCGGGGCAGCTCCTCCATCACAGCAGTTCACTCCTGTGGCGGGGCAGGAATCTGATGGTCAGGCCGACAGGGTGGGGGAGCTCTGGGCAGAGGGAAGAGCACGTGAAGTGAGCCCGTGGCTCGCTGGATGCAGGGCTGGACAGCAGGGCTGCCAGGACAGGAGACAGGAAAAGCCGGCCAGGGCCAGACCAGGAGGTCTGGAGCCAGAGGAAGAGCTTGGACTTCACCCCCGGAAGATGCTCAGTGGGGAGTGAAGGGGTCAGGCTGCATCTTAGAAAGGTCGCTCTGGATGCTTGGGCAGGTCAGACAGGAGCTGGGGAGACCAGGTAGGGCCCTGCAACCTGCAGGGAGGAGAAAGCTGAGGTAGGATGTGGCTGTGGGTGTGGGAAGAGATGAGGCGAGGACAGAGCCGTCAAGCATCTGAAGTGACACGAAGCCGAGACGTCCGCTCCCTCCACTACCGGGGTGTCCAGGGACCGCAGGGAGAACCCCGCCTCCCAGTGTCGTGGTTTTGGGTGTCTGTCTCACCTGCAAAACAGGGAAACCTCCCTCCCGGGCAGGGACCTGCTGGGCCTCACCTCCAGCGGCAGTCAGGTGGCTGTTAAGGGCAATGTTTCGCTGGCACATGGCCAAGAGATCTGCACCAACATCTGGAAAGACAGAAGGGCAAGTCATAAGGTGCCGGTCGTGACGACACTTTTATCTTTGTGCTTCTGCCTGGAGAGAGCTGGTACCAACAGCACGGCTGCAGAAACATGCAAAACTGAAACTAAAGTTTCTCCTGTGTGTTTTACACTAAAATGAAATATGTTCACCTTAAGGCTCTTTCTAATGATCTCTGCCTTAAAACAGAGAAGACTGTCCTGGTGGGGACAGACTCTGCATTCCAGGGAAGGGTGAGAACTCCCAGCATCTTTAGAGCATATGACACATGCACACACTTCCCGAATCCACCCTCCATATTTCTAATGACCCTGAGCTGGTGTCACGGTCCCGTCACAGGCAAAGCGACTCCGGCAGTCACGTGGCTGGGCAGAGCCAGGGCTGGGATTTGAACCCAGGTGTCTCTGACTCCAACAAGCCTCGCTCTTTGACACCCCAGAAAACTGACCGGAGCCAGGAGGGCATTTGGATGTGATCGGTGGAGACAGAGCACATTCAGGCAGGCTGGAGGCAGGTACCCTGGTGCCTGACTCACCGTCCCACCATCATGTCTCCCGAGCCACCTGCTGCTCTGATGAGATGGGGGCTCCTGTCACTTGAGCAGACCTGAGTTGTAGCACAGTGTATCCTTGACGGCAGTGGGGGCAGTGCTTTGCCAAAATTAACTTCCCATTAAGAGAGTGTGCATGTGGAGGGCACAGGGGGTCTTGTGAATGGCATTCGCCCGCCCACTGCAGACCTCCCGGGACTGGACCATCGTTTCCACCCCAGGGACCATGCAGAGCCGGGGATGTGTGTGTGTGGGGCTCTGCTCACCGAAGGGCCGCACCTGTCCCTTCTACTGGGCCACTGGGTAAAGAGAATACTGATGTATGTGCCTGACAACACAGGACTGGGTCAGCAGTTTTTAAGCCTTTATGGTACTTTTTGTCAAAGCAGATCTTGTGCGGGTTTCTAACACGCCAAGCACATACGAGAGGAGCAGCGATGGCGGAGCGGCGGTGGGAGACCCAGAGCCCTGGGGCTGCCCCCGCCCTCCACCCCTTGGCCAGCCTCCGAGGGAGCCCACAGAACCCTGCTCCACAGAAAACAGCCTGAGCCCCCCACATGATGAGAGGCACCATGCTGTGAGCCAGCGGCCATGTATGTGACCTTCGCCCAGCCCCCTGACCTCAGCCTTACCCTGCCCACTTGGATGGAGGGGATGGTGACAGGCTCCCCGGCGACTGCCCAGGGTCACTGTGAGGTTAAAGGTGCTGATGCTCACGAAAAGGCTCTACTAACTGGAATGTGCTGACAGGATGCAAGCTCTCTTCCTCTCCAGTAAATCTCTCTTATGGGTAAGATAACTTGATTAGATGCTGTTGTCAGGCGCTAGGCACTGTTGCTTTACGGCTTGACTCTTGAGAAGTTCACTGGCGATTTACACTGAATTGTCAAGGAGGAGTAAACAGGGTGGCTTACGCAGGGTATCTGAAAAGTACGCCCGACTCCCAGGCCACCCCTAGCTTCCCCTTTCTTAGCTGAGAAGCAAAAGACGTGTGCCACGAAAACGTCAACTAGGAATCGACGAAATGCAAAGCATGTCAGCAGCACCACTTCCTGCCTAGCAGATATCGAAGATTTAAAACATAATGACACTAACAATAATTACCTGATAAGATACTATTGTACCTTCTTATAAACTGGTATACTCTCCCTAAAAAAACACGTCGGCTAATCTGGAGTGTAACTGACAGTACTGCACTGTGTCAATTTGCTGGTGTGATCCCCAAACTATGGTATAGAAGATGTTACCACTGGGGGAGCTGGGTGAAGGATACATGGCACTTTCTATACTATTTTGGCAACTTCTATGTGAACCTAATATTATTTCAAAATAAAAAATTTAAAAAGCAATCATTTGACCATCAGTATCAAAAGCTTAAGAAAGGTCCCACTCACTTCGAGGAATCTAGTTTAAGGATTATCAGACAATGATGCACAAAGGTATTTGTTGCAGTGCAATAGACAAATGCAAACAAAACACAACATATGAAAACAGCCAAAATGTCCAGTAATATAAGAATGGTTAAAAAAAAAAAAGGGACAAAATATTACCTGGTCATTAGAAGTCATTTATAAGTAATTTTTAATGACAGTGGAAAATGCTTTTTCCCTTTTTTGACATTTTTGGCAGGATACAGCACTGAATATATACAGTTTGACTTTAGCTATTGTTTGGGAATAGGTACACACAAAGGAAAAGGAAAAAACTTGTAAAAAATATATATACGAACGTTAAAAAATAGATTCTAAAGCTCCCTGAGTACAGCGACTTGATCTGTTTCATTCACTCCTGGGTCTCCTGCATCTGGAACAGTGTCTGGCATGTAGTGGGCATGCAGTGAACTGCAGATTGTTGAATTTACATGGGAAATGTAAAATTATGAGGAAATGTTATTTGCTGTTCTACAAATTTTCCACAGAGAGTAGGCAAGATTTCCATAATCAGAAAAAAAAAAAAAAGAAGCTTGTTTTTAAGCCGTATGAGACGCATATTCCTCATGGTTTTCTGAGATGTTTACTCTTTTGAGGGGGTGTGAACAGAGGTACCAGCAGAACCACTGGTCCTGCACCCGCCAGTCCTGCTGGGGTCATCCTCACGCTGCTGAGAAAACAACGAAGGGTGGAGAAAACCAGCAAAAGAGGAGGGCAAAGTCGAGAACAGCCAAGGTCCAGTGTCCAGTTTCCCGCCTTACTTTTTATCTAGTCAGCCCACGCTCTGTGAGGAGCCTACTCCCCCTCAGCCTGAGACGGCGGGGCGTTACCTGTACAGTAGACGGTCTGCGCCACGGTGGCCGCGAGGATGCTGGCCAGCCCGGTGCCCGCCCCGAGCTCCAGCACTGTGCGACCCTGGAAGAGGTCCCGCTGGGACAGGATGTAGTCCGCCAGGAACAGGGCGCCCCGCCACACCTGGAGGGGAGAGGGACCAGGAACAAAGGTGGCCTGTGGCTCCCGAGAGACCCTTCAGGGCCGTGGGAAGCGGACGGGACCTACCCACCTGCTTGCCAACATCCTCCAGGGGGGTGGCCATGGTGTGCTCTGGACGGGACGGAAACCGAGAGAGAAAGGGCCACCGTGAAAACGGGGATGGACAGAACAGAGACAGACGGGGTGCGGGGGAGGCAGCAGAAACACAGGGCAGGCTACAGTCAGGAGGGGGCGTGTGAGCGTCACTCTCATTCAGATCCCTGGGTCTTTCTGCCCGCAGCCCGGAGACTCGGGTCACAGGAGGACTTGGCCCAACTTAATCAAACACACATACCCCACACTCCACTTTTTTACGTTCAGTAACCACATGTTACGATCATAATATATTTATGTTCTTTTGATCAACTGTATGGGAATAATAATCACAACTCATTCCAAAATATTTTCTTACACTCAGAACCACACTAGAAGTTAACAAAATAAGTTTCAGATTACATCCTTTTTAGATGAAAAATAAGTATGTTAGGGAGTATTCTCAAGCACAAAATACATTAGGACAAAATCTGGTGCTGGTTGTTGGGGGGAGGTGGAGAACAGAACTATGAGATCAAGGAGAGAAGGGAATGATGGCAAACGTTTCTCCTGTTAAATAAGAACCGGCTCTTGTATCTTTAAGCAGGATGGTGATGGCCATCAAAACACCACAACACACACACACACACACACACACACACACACACACACACACACACAC